GAAATGTGGGTCAAGTAAAAATTGTGTCCTGAGGGCTTATTCACAGAGTATATCTGTTCTATACGAACATGTTCTTTCAATAACCACATTGAGGGGTAATGTATTTTTACTGTCAGGCAGTAAATAAAATAATAAAAAATGTTGAATGTACTATCCTTTACTAGGAAAAGACGACAGACTACATAGATTGCATTTCTAAACCATTCAGTCATTATCTCCCAAAAAACCAAACAGTTCAAAATGGACTTATTTCTTTCAGAGAAGTCTGAGAATTATATCCCAAACTTAAAATGTAGTAGTTTGATGTTCAGTACCTGGGTTTAGTTCAGCCTCTAAAAAAAAAACCAAAAACAAAACAACAAAAAAAACCTCAACAAAACCCCCAGCTGTTAATAAAATTTCCTGTCAGTACAATGACAGTAGAGCTGAAATTTTTGGAAATAAAGCAAAGGACTAGAAAGCAGGGAAAAAAATCTGCAGTGCTGGATCATGAATCTTATGACCCAATCAGGCCTTTAAGTCATTGTGCTTTGTTCAGCTGTATCCAAAGGTATGAAAGGGGAAGGCAATTTATTACTACTTCTTGCAAAATAAAGGCATAACTCCCCCACAAAAATCCCTCCTATAATTCAGAAGGTAGTAAGTTTTTGGTGCTGCAGTGCTGCACAGGAAAATGCAGTGCTATTTATAACTTCTTAAGTTTTTTTGTCGGCATCTGAAATAACTACAATGTACAGTCCCTACCCACTGTATCAGAATAATCAGATCCTCAGGATTTCTGATCTACCTAGCATTCAGGTTCTCCTCAGACACAGCAGAGGAGGTTATCAGGCAGCTGAATGCAGCTGTCAGGTTCAGAACTGTCTAGCCTAGGAGTAGGTGGCACCATGTAAAAATGGTCATAATGTGTGTGACCACCAGTGACCTTACATCAGTAGAGAATTATGCTCAGAAACCCCCTTTTGTCTCCTTTATTCTGAATAGATGAGAAGACTGATAGAATTTGAGAAAGAAACTCCCTGTCTCGAGGATATATCTGCTTTAAGACCACTTTTGTGCTATGTACATTAAGTGCCTATAGCAGATGAGAAAAAGTGTCCTAGTCTTTCCAATGCAGCTCTTTAATTCCTCACAGTAATTTTCAGAGGTAACTATTAAGTTGTGTGGAAAGAAACAAGCTGCTACTCTGGGCAAGTGGCAATTTAAGTCTAAGCCTTGTAATCTTTCAGCTGTCCATATGCAAGGCTACCTATGATTATATATGCTTCTGAATTTCTTGAAAAATGAAGTGTTTTAGAGAGGCAGGTGGCATCCCCTCATACACTGCTCCTATGCTTGGGGTGTATTCTGGATGCTATGCACCTTAGTGATTTACTTTTCTTTTTCAGTGTATCTGAAAGATTAGGTGATTTTTTATTATCTTATTGTAAGAATAAAGTAGGTTTACTTATTCCTTCCTATAATGAACCATAAAACACTTTTATTTTTGACATTAATCTGTTTTCCTAAAGTTTATGATTGCCTTGAGTCTTCCATTCTAAATGTGCAGTTGATAAATGACTGCAATTTAAAGATAGCATAATCAATAAAACTGTAGTTAAACAGCGATGCATTAAAAACTTGTTTGTTGGTACTGGATTTACTTTTTGAATGTGTGGTCACATTACAGATGTGGGAAGAAGCCATATCTTTATGCAAAGAACTTGCAGAGCAGTATGAAAAGGAAGTTTTTGACTATGAACTTCTAAGTCAAAACCTGGTAAGATCATATACAGATCTTCAAATTATTGCAGTCACAGAAATTAGTACTTTTGAGCTGTCAAATGATAGAGCTGCTTATGAGCTTTTTGTCTACACCTGGGTTTTAATTGATTTGTCAAAGCATTGCTATGTTGTTGTAATGTTCCAGTGGTAGAGATTCATAAAGAACTGTTTGTTAAAGTTGCATGGACATCTGCTCATTGAGGTATTTTGAAACTTTTATAGATGAGATAAACACGTTCTCAATTAGCGCAATTTAAAGGACATATATAAAAGAAATATAACAGGGTTTTGAGACCTTTGTGCTGCTTTAGGGTAGGAAAAACACCTGGATGCATTTCTTCCCTGAAATTTTTCTTTTTTAGGAACTCAAATCTTGACAAGCCTAAAGAATTCTGTCCTAATCGGGGACTGGGGAAGTAATACATCACAAGGAATTAGAACCAGGTCCAAAGGCTAGGAGGAAGATTTTAAAGGAAGATAAAATGTTCAATTATTTGTTTTCATTAAAATTTAATTAGTCTAAAAAGAATCCCTTTCACCACGTACCTTCTTTTTTCCCACCCCCAAGACTCCACACATGCATGATCTTTAACAAATGTTAATAAATTCAATAGATATCCCTGAATCTTCCACAAAGAAACCATGGGAATCAAAACATGATGTTCTTGAACAGTGTTGTGTATAAAGCAAGCTTCTTTTCCTCCCAATGAATTCTGCTTTTATCATAAACTAAAAGATAAAGGCAGTATTTTTGCCCATTCCATTTAAGTGGCAGTGTTGCGTGTCTCATAGATGTAACACAGGAAATAGAAATAGTAAACCTCGATGACACTTAGTATTTTGTGGAAGACATTGTTCGAGGCCCTTGATATGGTGTGTGCCCTTAGCATGATGCTAGGGCAAAAGCTTGAGTTGATCCACACCTAAGAAAATGTCTGAGGTAGGGAGTTTTTCCAAATGTACTATTTCAGTAATGTTATCAGTTAAGTGTTTGAAGTGTAAAATGTGACTTTGGTGTTTGGTTTTTTTCCTTTTCATGCTAGTAAATTAAGGCTAAGCTGATTCTGAGGTCAAATAATTGCAGTTGAAGCCATTCACATTTAGCTATGTATTATATTTGCATATAAATGTAAACAATATTTAACGTACCACAGCAGTGTCATGTGCCATGTGCATGCTACCTGATTATTGCTGTAGCTTGCCAACTGATACTTGATAGCTCTTGCATATTCACTGGTAGCTGTTGTACATAGCGCGCTGCTACTGAAGAGGTCAAATAATAAACGGAAAAAAACCCTAAACAGAAGTAACTGCAATTGGTTTTGTTTTCAGATTCAACAAGCAAAATTCTATGAAAACATCATGAAAATTCTGAGACCTAAACCAGACTATTTTGCTGTTGGGTATTATGGACAAGGATTCCCCACATTTCTAAGGGTAAGCCTGTTAAAATTCTTACTTTTTTCACCTATTTTCATAAGCTTCTAAAATCATGAGCCTACTCTATCATTGCAAGTGAGTCTCTGGGGATATTTGCCATGGATTTAGTTTTGCAGGACTGTAGTCAGAATCTGAATTGTTACTTGTAAGAATACGCATGAAATGTTTTCAGATGCGTTTAAGCTGATTCTTTCTCTTGAGTGGTTGTGGGAATATATGCTAAAATTACACCAAAGGAAGTGTGCACCTTTTGTTTCTGTTATTATAGAAGTATGCTGTTAAATGAGGGAAACTGAACTACCAATGAGCCCATTTGGGGTTGGACTGTATTGCAAATGAGGACATTTCATAACACAAGGAGAGGAAGCAGGCTAGAAGAACCCTATATATTGGTATTAGAAAGCTGTGAAACCTGGACCCAGAATGCAAATCCTTTTACTTGACAAGAAGAAAAGGAATTTTAGTACTTTTCTCACCTCCCATTCTGATTTTATTCTGCTTTAGAGGAGCATTGTCAGTGATGATGCCAGTTTATCTTCGTTCTGTCTAACAGCACAAAGTATTGTCTCTGGAGTCAGTGCTGCATTCCAGCACCTGGTCAAAGAGGTGTCTTGCTTTATAGTTAATGAATATTTGGAAAACAGTAACACTCATTCCAAACTTTGGAGATCCCATTGTGTCTTTGTACTGATAAGCATGCATCTGTAACTTCTGCCTCAGCATCAGACAGCCCAAGAAATCAGCTATTTATTCCTTGCAGAACAAAGTATTCATCTATCGTGGGAAGGAATATGAGAGGAGAGAGGATTTCCAGGCACAGCTGATGAGTCAGTTTCCCATTGCAGAGAAGATGAACACCACCTCAGCACCTGGAGAGGATGTGAAAAACTCTCCTGGTCAATGTATCCTTGAACACCTGGGAGATTACTGAATGAAGGCGGGTTGGGGAAACCTTGTTTTTACCAAGAGTTTATCTGTGTGGAAGAATAATTTCCTAAAAAGGATGAAAGTTTATTAACGTGGCAGCTCAGTTTGCAGTTTTAATTATATGTCCTGAGTGTCTTTTATGTTTTGTTCCTAAGATGTTTGCTCCTGGTTTTCTAACAGTTCTAAGAAGTCTGTCTCTTTCAGTCATCATAGAATCATTTAGGTTGGAAAAGACCCTGAAGATTGAGTCCAGTGGTAAACCTAGTCCACCACTAAACCATGTCCCTAAGTGCCATGTCTACACATCTTTTAAATACCTCCAGGATGGTGACTCAGCCGCTTCCCCGGGCAGCCTGTTCCAGTGCTTGACAACCGTTTCAGTGAAGAAAATTTATTCAAGTTCATACATGGTTTACCTTTATTTTCCTCAGATGGCAAACCTAGTGATGAACACTTGAATTGGCTAAGTTTAAAGCAGCAAATTGTCTATTATTGGCTATTATTCCTAGCTGTTGTGTCTTGATATTAAATTCATGTCTTCCTTGGACATTGTTCTGACTGGCATTTGGGTATCACATGTATTTCTTGGCAACATAAATATGCCTTATGTCACTCTTAGTAATTTTCCTAGGAAAATTAATTCACAAACATCATTAACCACCTTTTAGAATGCCTTAAATTATTCTTCTTTAAAAGTACTCTAACAGTTGCTTGCTCACATTATCTTTTTTCTTCGTGTTCTGATTTAAGTCATTACTGGCTGAGCAGATATGAGACCACCTCACAGTATCAGACTTTTTTTTTTGCCATGTGTTGATTTTCCTTTATTAATTTTCAAGGTAATATTGTAACACTTCCTGTGCTCTCTTGAGTATATTCTGATGGAACCAGCTGGAGGAGAAAAGGAATACTGTTTTCATTTCACATTGTTGGGACTGACGCAGAGAGTATTACAAGCTTGTCTAAAATAGACATTAAGCTTGAGATCCACGCTCTCATAGTCTGTCTTGTGTCTTAACTAATGTTATTGGTTTTGAGATCATATGCTTCAGTCCTTTCTTAAAGTAGAATTGGCTCAAGTCTATTTGCAACTAACAGGAGATGCGCTGCTTATGTACTTAAGGAAAAGCTACGGAATCTAACCAGAGGGCATGAGTTTCAAATATACTGAAATATGTAAGAATATGATATATTTACTTACAAATACAGTATTCAGATTAAAAAGTAACACTTTCATAGAAAAAGGAAATCTCAGGTAAAAGGGCTGCTCAATTACAGATCACAAAGATGAAATACAAAATGTCATGACATTATGCATGTCTAAAGCTAGTGAAACTGTTAACATCAGCTGTTGCTGATATTCTTTTTGTAAGTTGGCTTGGCCGTAAATTTTAATGAATGATTCTTTGTGATAAATTCAGCTACAGGTATTCAATATTCAGTAAATAATAAAAATATGTAGTTCAAAATTAATATTAATATATATTCACTGGTTACTACTGGCACATTTTTCCTTTTTTGGCCAAGAAAGCTCCACAAATGAAACCCTTAACCCTGCAGATTTTTCGTCAGGAAATGTCTTTTTTAATTATTTTTTCATTTCCTCCACAGCCTACAGTATTTCATACTGATAGTTAATAACATGCCCTTAACTTTCACAATTTCAGATATCCAGTGTTTTACAGTGCAACCAGTCCTGGAGGAGCAACCTAAATTCAAAAATAAGGCAGTACCTGATCAAATTCTAAAGTAAGTGAATTTCTGTAATAGATAATGTAATGAAAGTCAGTCCATATTCCTGAACTGACAACCATTATTTTGTGAACTCATTTAGTTGCCAATGAATCTTAGAGCTTTTATTGTCTTAGTTTACTGGCATGTATTCCCCAGGAATTTCATGAAGGAACATCTACCCATCTCCCATGTAAGGAATACCATCTGGTTACAGGGAGGGGAGGTGGAATCCATGCTTTGAGTCCAAACTATTGAGTTTTCAACACAGCTTCTTAGACAAGTGATGGAGAGAGGATTTTAGAGGTGGCTGGCAGTATGAGAATGATTGAGTTGAAGGCTCTTGTACAACAGAATCCTGTTTGTCTTGGCAAAGCACTTGATGGCAAAATGGTTTCCATTGATACTACGTTCAAAATTTTGTAACGGAGTAAAGGAAATGAATTGTCCAAAGTATTTTGAGAACAGAATGGCTAATATTTCCAAACTCCTAACCCAATGTAGAACAGGTTGAACTTAATACATACTCCTAATTAAGTGTTCTGACTGCATGTGTGAGAAGTGATGGTACATTCTAATAGCTGATGCCAAAAACTCCATACAGTACCTACTGGAATATTGGTTGACTTCAGGCTTGTGAGATTTTTGGCTCCAAATCCATCAATATATAAATGGGGGACTACAAGAAAGATGGAGAGAGACTTTTTACCAAGGCCTGTAGTGACAGGATGGGGGCAATGGTTTTAAACTGAAAGCAGGTAGATTTAGATTGGTTATAAGGGAGAAATTCTTCCCTGTGAGGGTGGTGAGGCATTGGCACAGGTTACCCAGAGAAGCTGTTGATGCCCCATCCCTGGAAGTGTTCAAGGCCAGGTTGGATGGGGCTTTGGGTGACCTGGTTTAGTGGAGGGTGTCCCTGCCCGTGGCAGGGGGTTGGAACTAGATGATCTTGCAACTTAAGGACAGCAAAAAGTACAAGCACCATCAGTTAAGGCAGGCTGTATTTTCTCCCTATTCTTGTCAGTGCCTTGTGAAAGCATAAGGTGTCACTTCACTGTATCTCCCTAATTGCAACTGGTTGAAACAGGCAACTTAAGCTAAAATTTCTCCAGGTAAACTGAGGCACCTGCATTTTTAATGCCAGAAAAGCTTTGCAATGCCTCTGCATTTAAACAAAAACTCAGACTAAACGCTTTAACAACACGTGTATTATGACTTTTCAAAACAAGACTGAAGATAGAAGGCTTATTTTATCAGCTGAGATTAATTCATTTCTAGCTGTTCCACAGCTGGATTCAAACCAGGTGTCACCTTCTCTATAGAATCTTTACTATTTCACTTGATGCAGAGTGGAAAAATAAGAATCACCTCCCCACATACACCAAAATAAATAAAGCAGATGTAAGTACAGGTCTCATACTACAAGATTAAAAAAAAAAAGACCAAAAAAACCAAACACCAAAGCAAAAATCCCCACCCAAAACCAAACAACTGTTGTCCCAGTTTCTACTAGAATTCATTTATAAATTGGTAACTGCAAGACAGTTATAAATCTGGTCTTGTTTGACTAGATTTTAGTGTAGTACCAACCACATTTTGAACCTGTAAACATTTTTATTTAGCAAAGTGCTCCACATAAAGTACGATCTCTTGTTGTATGGGAGATTTTGTAATTGTTTGTCTCAGCTGCAGAATTAAACCAAACTGCTAATTCCATCTGGTCTTAGAGATTTATTTTTATGAGTGTACTTTATTGGGCATTTAATTGTTAGTTACATTAGTTGATGGCAATGCATTTATTCTATGAAAGAGCTTCAAAATATCTGTCCTTTCAGATATTCAGATTTCAACTGTAAAGTGATCTGAGTCAGTATGGCAGTATTTTCCACTTCCTTTTCCTTATTGATGAAGATAATCTTAGTAGTTTGGATCGGAAACCGTAGGTTCCTATCAACTAACACAACAGAAGTTTGCTTAGCTCAACTGTCGAGGTGTCTCTGTTTATTTGTTTCTCTAGACTGCCAAAGCATGGCTTGGTTTGACTGTAAGGTATTGCTGAGATTCATTTTGCTCTGCAAAATTAGCTTTTACTTATAATGTCTTAAAATTGAATTCCTCTTTAAAACCAAAACTAAAAACCTAAATGAGAGATTTTTCTGTGGACAGCAAAATACTTAACCAAAACTGCAATCTCTGTTCTTTCAAATTAGCCAGTGCTAAAAGCCGAGTGGCTACAAGTTTAGTGGAAATATGTGCTCATATTGATTGAGAATGATTTGTTAGCTAAATAGAATAGACTATAACATGAATTTGCAATAGATTTCTTTGCAGTGATGTCCCCCTCTGCAAGTGTTTATATACATTTTCTTATCCATCACAAGAAATTATTAATGGATTCAAATGTTTAGTTTCTTGAATAACTGTTTTTCTGCATTGTGAGCAGAATTGTTAGACATGATTAAACTGATTTGGCATGCACCATGGATGAAAAAACACATGTATTTCAGTCCATATATCTGCTCTGTTCAGTCAATTATTTTTAACAAAATGTACTCCTTTTGTATGCCATTATAAAGTTGGCAAGCAGTGTGCATGCCACAGCAAGAATGCAGGATAGTAAAAATCTTTTCTAGGTTTTAACATTAATCTGGAAGTTCTGGAATTTTTTTACCTGGAAATTACACCTAGTCACAAGCTGAAGCTTAATACTTGTAAAATACTGTGTGCTGACTCTGATTTATAGATAAAGTAGTTTTGTCTCCTGAGTTTTCACTAAAGTGCTTTTTTTCTGAGGAGTAAATTTTCTTTTAATTAAAAACTCAACTGATTCAAAATGAAATATTTAACTGCGATAACAAGATCCATAAATTTCTGAATTCTGTGTTTTACAATACTCTTTTTTTTAAAAAAATCTTTCAGTTTTTATAAGTCCAACAATGTGCAGCGGTTCCACTATTCAAGACCAGTCAGAAAAGGATCTGTGGACCCTGAAAATGAATTTGCTGTAAGTAAATCAATGACAGGGTGATGGAAGCAGTTCCAGTAGCTGTGACTGAATTTTGATCTAGATACTTTTGGTCTCAGATTACTCATTACAGACACTCTAATTTTAGGATCTGGTTGAAAAAAAAAAAAGCGAGATTTCTCTATTTCAGCACTACTCCTATGTACTTACTCAATGGTACATTACTGTTTTGATTGTAGGTAAACATTATGTAGTTAAGTATGTTCAACACATTTGTGTTAAGCAGTAACATTTGCTGGTACAGATTTTCACTACGAAACAAGATGACATGTAAAAAAATATCAAATGCTTTGCCTCTTGTAGTTTACAACACTTTTGTCAGCTGCCAGCTTGGCAGAGAGGTGTGTGTTGTCTGCTTTCATCAGTCCTGTGAAATCTTGACAGATTACTACCTATGTCATTTTTATTCCCATGCAATGCTGAGAATAGTCTTCATTGTTCAAATATTCTAGGAAATCTGCAACACCATAATTTATTTTTCAGTGTCATGCATAAAAATGTGGTAAGTTTCTATATTTTAATTTTACAGATACCTGATATTTTATAGTTTGTCGTGAAAACCATACCATCCAATGTTTATGGCTAAAGCTGTGCTCTTGGGCAACTGATAGGAAAAGCCATTTTTTTTTTCAAAAATGTACAATTTCAGTTATGTGCGTGCTGATCAGTAAAGTCAACAATTTTGTGTAAGGAGCTTCTTACCTGGTCTTAAATTAAATGCTGCAGATGCAAACTCTACCCTGACATCCCAGCTTTGCACTGTATTATCAAGATTCATGATGCACATTGGCTTCCTTTGCAAACTGGAGAATTTTGAACCTATTTATGAATATACATTTAATTGGCTTTACAAAAATTAAATGGTTAATGTTTTCATTGCTGATGACAATAGATTTATGCATACTTACTTCAGATGGGTGGAAACTTGGATAGTTGAATTATGTCTTCATTGCATTCATTATTATGTTTCTCAGTACTGGCAGTTTAGATGAGCTGATATAGGTAAAATAAGGAGCAGTAGGGTAAATGAACTACTGGCATTTTAAAATACCAAGAGCTAGTCTTGTTCGAAAGAGGAAAAAAAAGTAAGAATGCTGGCAAGTTGTTATAGGGCTATTACTGCTTTTAATTGCAGGAATATGTTTTGAAAGTGGAAGGAGGAAGTATTATCTGGGTAGAGGGGAGAGTAGGTCATGTAGTCAGTCATTCAATCTGTAATGGCAAAAATAGGAATAGATACTAAAAGATTCAAGGGTAATTTTCTTTTTCCTCTGCTTTGTGCAGGCTTAGTGCCTGAAGATGACCTAATCTGAAATCAGAAAAAATGATTTGTGCAAATTACTGTGCTAGATTCAGCTTGCAGTGTCCTTTCATGCAAAAATGTGCATATGTTTTCCATCTACATTATTTTCACTCTGACATTTCAGAAGGCAGAAGAGATTAAAGTTTAAATCCTGAAGTATCATTTTCTCCCTGCTATGTTTTTTTAATAGTCTATGTGGATTGAGAGAACATCGTTTGTTACAGCATACAAACTTCCTGGAATTTTACGATGGTTTGAGGTTGTCTCCATGTCACAGGTGTGTATTAACATGCTAAGAACCCATAAAACATGTATCTACATGAATCCTCATGTACAAAATCCTTTGCAAATTTATCACACAAGGCTATTGTTCTTATTTTTGTACATACAAAACTGTTATTACTTATGTTTTATCTTTCTACTGCTAGGATCAATATATCTTACAAGATGATTTATATTTTCAGGACCAAGTCCTAACAGAATTGAACAAATCTGTGTTGGTTTGCGGAATTGTAAGAATGTTGTTTGTACATGTGAAGTTTTATAAAACAAGAAAGACCTTTTTATCTCTTTATAAATTTTAAAAGTCTTTTGTTTCTTTATAGACCACAATTAGTCCTTTAGAGAATGCTATTGAGACTATGTCCACAACAAATGAAAAAATTTTGATGATGATTAACCAGTACCAGAGTGATGAGAACCTTCCTATTAATCCACTTTCTATGCTTCTGAATGGAATTGTTGATCCAGCTGTTATGGGTGGCTTTGCTAAATATGAGAAGGTAAGAGCTTTTAAGTCAATGGAGAGAACATATTCAGATATATTACTTCATAATCCTCCTGCATCCTTTGTTCAAAGTGGCAGTGGAACGTGGGCTGGGAATATGAAAGCCATAACTCTACTGATTAAGAGAGCCTCATATCCTGGTCACATCTGTCTTTGAAAGCAGAAACTAGCAAACTAGAGTAACTGCAGCTCAATATTAATTGCAGTTATGAGGGTTTTCATATACATGTGAGACAAGATATCCCTTTTTTAATGAAATAGGCTTTCTCACATCAAAAGATTTGGTCTGGAGTAAATCAGTCGGGTTTATCCTACAGTAGATCTGGAGTATTTAGATCTGGGTTATCAATTAAACCATCATCAGGTTTTCTCAGTAACTGCAGCCATTTGCATAGCAGGTTTTGTTGTTAAAAAATGGGAATACAAATAAAAACTTTTCTGGCAATACATGGAAATTGGAATGTCTTGAGAAACTGAACTGTAGAAAATTTGTCCCTAAGACCACCTTGTGAAAGCGAGGCAGGAAAGAAAGCAGGAATATATAAATTTAAATTCTAAATTATTATTTAAGTTTTTGATGAAAATTAATATGGTGTTACCCCACAGCTGCAGAACTCTATTATTTCTGCCTGCCATTTCCTGATGAAAAGCATGTGCCATGCTCAGTAGGCTCAGCATGTCAGATAGGCTCAGATAGTGCTGAAAAGGTACCATATATATATGTACAAACATAAGTTATATGCAGTACACATGACATATTCTGGAGGAGTAGGACTTACGCTATGTTAATTTGAGAGTATCATTTGTTTAGATATTTGGCTGTCATGGACAAATAGCAACATTCTTTTGTACCTGGGGGATAAAACTTTTGGGCAGCAAAAGGACATGTGTATGCAATATCTTCTTCTGCTTATCTATGAAAGAGTTCAATTTCTTTATTGAGTAACACTGGCTAATGTCAGTACGTAGGATGCTTGAATAAAATGATAATTTATCAATTTAAATCATGATACTCCAAATTTGTGCCTTTTTAGTTTCAATGCAAGCTTAATAAAACAATAATTGGGTTTCATAGTAAAGGTCTCAAGCTCAGAAGCATTGGATAAAGTCTGAATACCTTTTAACAAAACAGAGAAACCTCAGTTCTCAATGGATATAAGAAGGAATTATCACTAGCAGCATCTGGTTAAGGAGCATGCATGCGTCTCATTTGATGACCAATAGTCTGGTCACCAGCTGGAGTCAATGGAGTAATCACTGATTTCTTTACCTGTTGAAATGATGGACTGAATTATTTTTTTTTTTTTGTCTAAGGCTTTCTTTACAGAAGACTATATCAGAGACCATCCAGAGGATCAAGAAAAGCTTAATAGACTCAAAGATCTAATTGCTTGGCAGGTAACTTCTTACTGAGAGCACTGATCAGAGGCTTCATCAGCTATTCTTTTTTTCTGTTCCTTTCTAGCAGGAGAACATAGCATTTAGATGATTGTGTCATTTTTACCATTTGTTTGGGGTGGGATTTTGGGGGGTTTTTTGAGGGCTTTTCTTTTTTTTTTTTTGGACGACTGTTTCCCCAAAGCAGGGAGTGGTAGAAGAATAAGATTCTTCTACAAACTTTCTGTGTAGCTCTCTGATGAATTCAGAGTATTTATTTGAAAAGGAACTCATAGTAACGTATTCTCTCTTAGACTAAACCTTCTGTTTCGGAGTATGTAAAAGGACTATCTATTTATTATTCTATTTAGATATTAATAGTTTCCCTTAAGTAGGAAACAGGGCTTCAACTCCTTCAATTTTAATGTGCCTAACAGGATTAGCATGTATTCCATTACTAACCCACTAAGATCACTGACCAAACAGCATAATTCCTTACCCTCTGATGTGGCATGTGTTTGATAAAACATTCTTGGGGATGTAAGCGATCCTGTCCTTCAGCTTTTTTTTAAAAATCTGTGCCTAAACTGGAGAAGTGGCTCAACTACAACAATCACATCGTATTTCCTGAGGAGTATCATCATTGTAGTGCCTGTCAGGAGTTAGATGAAATGCTACTAGAATCAGGGGAATTACCCCTATATCCCCTTATGTCCTAGGGAAAGCAGTAGGCCAGAAGAGTACTTTGTAGAACACATCATTTGGAATGGTTTACCAAAAGCCACGTGTACTTGGCTACATTTATGGTTAAAAGGGCCAGGATTTCAAACTCAGATTGTATTCCTGAAGACAAAACTGAGAGCATGACAAAAGTCATAAGGACTTCATGAATTGCTGGGAAAACAAGCATTTGCAAATGCCAGAATTTCTCTTGGGAAGTAACTCCTTTCTAGAGGTGGGTGGGGTTTCCTTTTTGGGGTTTTTTTTGAGGTTTCTTTGTTTTGTTTTCATTAGAAACCTTAATGGAATGCTAGTTGCTCACAGGAGTTATTTTCATGCTCAGTAACCCTTCAAGACTGCTGCTACTTATCTTTTGTGGGACAAATAGCTCAGAAGACCAGTAGTAAATATTTTTAAGCTATATCTCCCCAAGAAAACTGAAAATTCTGCCTATACTAGAAGCAATGAGGTTTTTTGGGTTTTTTATTTTTAGTGAACATATGGTAAGCCAACCAACTGCAGAACCCTTTTGTCCTCAAAGAGAAGCATGCACCTATGGCGGTGGTAGCAGAAAAAACCTATTTTTGCTGAGATTCAAGGGAAAATGGCTCTTTTCATTGGCCTAAGCATTTGTTGTGATAATGGAGGGAAGAAAAACATGACCTCAGAAATTATCAATTCTATTTGCATTATCCAGTCCACATAGAAATTATTGCCATCAATACATGGCAAAACGACTAAGAGAGAAGACACATTTTTGCACATAGGTAGTTTGTTAAGAAACCACTAACTGCTAAGTCCTCTGAAGTTTAGATGGTTTAAGTGAGAAAGAACTGTTTGCTGTGTAAATGAACGGGCATAGTAATTGCTATATGAAGGCATAATATAATGATTTCCCTTTCAAGAGGGATGTTATGAAATAGTGTGAGTTAATCTGGAATTTTAGTATCAGAAGTGAATGGCTCAAGATATCTCTCATCATGTTCCATGTCTCATTCTTTGTACTAATGCACTAAACAATTCTTCCTCATTGATTTAATCTTATGCCATCCATGTGAGGAGGGCTACAGTATCCTGGGCTGCATCAAAAGCAGCGTGGCCAGCAGGTCAAGGGAGGTGATTCTGCCCCTCTACTCCACTCTGGTGAGACCCCACCTGGAGTACTGCGTCCAGCTCTGGGGTCCTCAGCACGGGACAGACATGGAGCTGTTGGAGTTAGTCCAGAGGAGGCCACGAAGCTGATCAGAGGGCTGGAGCACCTCTCCTATGCAGACAGGCTGTGACAGTGTTGGGGTTGTTCAGCCTGGAGAAGAGAAGGCTCCGGGAAGACCTTATAGCAGCCTTCCAGTACCTAAAGGGGGCTTATAAGAAAGATGGAGACTAACTTTTTAGTAGGGCCTGTAGTGATAGGACAAGGGGTAATGGTTTTAAACTAAAAGAGGGTAGATTAAAACTAGATATAAGGAAGAAATTCATTACGGTGAGGGTGGTGAGACACTGGCACAGGTTTCCCAGAGAGGTGGTAGATGCCCCATCCCTGGAGACATTCAAGGCCAGGCTGGACGGGGCTCTGAGCAACCTTATCTAGTTGAAGATGTCCGTGCTCATTGCATGGGGGTTGGACAAGATGGTCTTTAAAGGTCCCTTCCAACCCAAACTATTCAATGAGTCTATGATTCTATCTCTGTTTCATAAATGAGAAAGAGCAGGAATTAATCATTTATTGCTCTCTCAACCTTGAAATGAATCTTCCAAATAGTTTTAATGGATTTTTCTTGGCACTATTTTCTTAATGTATTTGAAGTTTCTTCCTGTTTCATTTTGATTCATCTCAGTTTGGTTTTTAGTTCGAGTCACCAAACTTTACAGCTTTCTCCTGTATCATTGCCCACCACAGGCTCTGTATATGGTTGCTTTCTGACCATCAGAAGTACTCAGTGGATGTAGTGGTATAAATTGTCTATAGTACCATTTGGCATTAGGAAATAAAGTGGTAATTTATATCTATCCCTGTAAATCCCTCTAAAGGAGACAAACAGGTCTCTCTAGTAGATGGGTTTTAATACCATGTTTTTAAAAGTTATATTGAAATTGAACTTCCAGAAAATATGATGAGGTCAATAGGTGCGCCGATGTATACAAGATTAATAGTGTTTATAGGGTCAGAACACAAAAAGGAAGTATGGAATCTAAGTGGATTTTACGAGAAAGCCCCAAACATTAATGCAAAACAGTTAAAAGTCAATGGTAAAGCAGTTAGAAAAGGTTACTGGCAGAAGGGTAGCTAAAAGTGTGTTGCACAAATCTCATAAATCGCCTTCTTCAAAGACTGAAGAAAAATGGAATGTCTTTATATTTTAGAGAAGCACTACAAAGTTTCTCTTTGTGAACACGTTTATTATTAATTAAACAGCATGTCAAAGTGTGCTGTCCGTTATCTTTGAAGATAAGATTTGTTTTGTTTGCTTTCAACTGGCTATTATTACGCTAATATAACAGGAAAGATGATAGTAGCTATATAACAGCAAAGGAAAGCATTGTAGGGAAGACGTGTTAGAAAGGCACTATTACTATCATATTTGCTTCATTATAAAATTTTTTTCTCTTTTTTATTTGGTAAGCAAGCCACTTCTTCTGACAAAGAAGAAGAATTTTTTAAGAAATTCAAGCTGCCTCTGGTCATGGCTTGAGTTGTTCTTTTGTCTACTGAAGCATTATCTTACTGAATTTTTCGTGCAATGTGGGGAGTACAGAGGAAGTCTGCACAGTAAAATCGAGGAGGAAGGAAGAGGTCACCTTCAGTAACTAGGCATTAACATATTAAATTGCTGCAGCAATTGTCAATGTGATCACAGGATTAAGTCCCCAGTAGATTCATTGAAACCTTTCCCAGTCATTTAATCCTCCGTTTGGAAAGAAAAGAGTTTGAAACCACCTGCCTGGAATCTACTTGGATATTTTTTCATCCCTACCTTCTTTCTTGTAAACTATGTCAGGCACCTTCATAAGCAGGTGGACTAGTAGTCTAAGAATTTCTTAAACTCTCGCATAGTGTGTTTAATTTCATAAGTGATTAATTTTGAAATATATAGAAGAGAGAAAACAGTCACTATGAGGCAGCCAACATTCTTCAAAAATTTACTGAGCAAGTCCATTTTTCCAGAGCCCTTTCCATCTTGTAGTTACTGCTAAAAGCTGAGATCAACTGACAAATCTGTCTGCCCATCGCAGTAAGAGTGTCGCAGTTCTTAGCAGATACTTGAAATGGAGCTAGAAGGGTTGTCAGACCCAGTTTAATATTCTCACTTTTTTCTTCTTTTTTTCCTTCTTCAAGATACCTTTCCTTGGGGCTGGAATTAAAATTCATGAAAGAAGAGTTTCTGATAATCTTCGTCCTTTCCATGACCGTATGGAGGAATGTTTTAAGCATTTAAAAGTGAAAGTGGAAAAACAATATGGAGCCAGAGAATTGGTATTGCTCTCCTTTTAACCTCTCCTGCACTTTCTCATTACTTAATACACACCTTGTTCTTCTAAACAAAAACCCATACTAAACTTTTTTGTTTCTTGTGTGTTTTCTTGTGATCTGAAGTTAGTAAGACCTGAATTTTATAGTAAGAGTTGGTTCAATTCTCTGATGTATCAAATATTCCTCATTCTGGAAGATTTGGAGTATTTTATTATGTCTATTAAAATTGCATTTCTTTTCTGGCTTATTGAGAAAGTAAAAGCGAGTTCTCATGTTTCTCCTCTTTGTAATTTTTCTTAGTTGTTTAGGGCTTTGATCTGCAATTGATGTCTCCCTGTGCTAGCCACTTCCAGCTGTGTTGTGAAGCAAAACCTATCATGTGTATAATACTATAAATGTTAGTTGAGACCAAACTGAAATATATGGGAATTGGAGGATATCTTCTCAACACAAATATTCTCTCCAGACAATTCTTGAATAAAATAGTCTATCTGAACTTGTGCAGGCTAGCAAGAGTGATATTGGCTGGTTTGGGGCATTAAACATGAGTTGCTCTAGAGATTATTTTATGTTGTTGCTTTCAGCATTGATGATTTTGTAAGAGGGTTTATTTCTTCTTTTATAGGGGAAAGTAGCAAGTTTCTAAACTAAATTTTGGATGTGTGCTGTGTTACACACCAATATGATGAAAATTCTGTGTATTTATCTCAGTATGTTTTTCTTATTTTCAGTCTCATGCCTCCATCCTTAGCAATAATAGATACTGTAATCCACAATTAGCAATCTTGTCTAATCCTTGAACCCTTCAGCGCTCTTACAGATCAGCACATAAAAAAAAATAACCTATTTAAAATTTTGTAAGAACAGAGAATGTACTTTTTGAATGGCGCTACTGCCATTTTACCATATCTGACTCTCTAGTGGCTGGCCTGAGCTTTTTTATTAGAAGACAAGAAAAAAAAAAAGTTATGCAGCCATTGTGTCTTTATCACAAGATTCTGGCCATTCAAAGGATGAGCAGCATGTAAACTCATTGCATGTGAACTCTGCAAAACACTTGAAAATAATTCTTGAAACTACAAATGTTTCCAAGTCTTCTGCTACACATCAGAGTCTTAGTGAGAAATTACATCAGAAGCAAAGTACTTGAGAATTTGGCATATGAAATTATGCATAAATTTTTAATATTTTCTGGATAATCAGAACAAATCCCCATACTTTAATATGAGAAGTTTTTTAGAAGTTATTCATATCCTGTTTATGGGATAGAAATTGAAGCAGGCTACAAAAGTAGTTTATGGTATGCATGCACTGGGAAATTCTCAAAAACCTGCCTCATATCATGACATGATGATAAGATGAGCTAACTAGGGAGAGGCATGCTTATCCCAGGAAATAAACAGAAAAAGAGAGAAGAGCTGACTGCACTCTACAATTTTAGATCCCAGAAGTCACCCCTGAAGAAAGAAAACAGTTCTAGTATTAGCCAAGAAATGTGATTTTTTTGTCCCTACCTTATTAACAAGTGTAACAGGAAAGCATTTGGAAATAAGTCAGATAGTTTCAGTTAACTTTGTACCAGACTGCAAAGCCTAAATAACCATCATCATTAAGCTGAATATTTCCATTGTGATAGCTAAATCTTCTTTAAGAAGATTTGGAGGAAAATCTCCTTTTTCTCATTTCACTGCAGAACATGCTCTACCTCATGCTTTGCAGACAGAGACGGCACAGCATACGTGGCTTTGTGCAATATGGATACATGATGACCTGGAGAATCCTCTTGTTCTTCCTGTCTGGCTATTAGGGAAATAAACTTTCTCCAATATTTGCAAACATATAATTTGAAAAGGCTGCATTAATGTATGGAGATGGCAGAACCTGTTGTATTGAAGCAGCAGCATGATTAGTGTCTTGGAGCAAGGACTAATTAAATCTATTTGCCCAAGCAAGTACTTTAATAGCGTGCCCCAGGTCTGTTCAAAATAAGATCAGCAGACACTGTTTATTTTAATTTCTTTTGCAAACATAAAATTAATTATGTCACTTGTAGTTTAGCTACTTACTGTATCATTGAGTTTGAGAGGTCTTAGAGTGTATCCAGACAAAAGAGTCACAGTGATTAATGGTTGCAAATAACTTCTTTCATGGCAAATGTTAAAACAACTGTGCTATCTTCAAGACCTAGTGAGAAGGGATGAAATGAGGTTCACGTGAAGTTTGATAAAAAATGTTTCTCTTTTCCATCCTGTAGCCAGATTTTGATGACAAGAGAGTAGGACGGCCAAGATCCATGCTGAGATCCTATCGTCAATTATCAGTTATTTCACTGACTTCCATGAATTCAGACTGCAGTACTCCAAACAAAATTGCTTCAGAAAGGTTGGTTACAAACACAATACAAATTTTCTTTCAGTCTTAGTTTTTAAACAGTTTTATGGGATGAAACTAAAAGATTGAAGAAAAAAAAAAAGGCATTCAAGGATAAAGACCACTAGCAGTCTCTTCAGAGTACACCAAAATTATTTTTAACTCTAGCTATCACTCTGTCCTGGCTTAAAGCTACAGTATTTCAACCTTAGTAGACAAAATATGCTCAAGTCTCACTGAAAAAAGTTACATTTCACTTTTAGGAAACAAATATTTTATAATTTAAATGACATTTCAAATATAATACAAAGATCTGGGGGTTTTGCAGGTTTGTCTTTATACAGCTTTTAACTTAATTAGCATCTTTTTGCTTGTAAAAATTGGAGAGGAAGAGGAAAGCCTTTAAAAACTTACAAGTAAGGAGGCAAAGCCTGGAGTAATGTAAAATGCTTTGTCTAATATGCTTTCTTAACTGCAGCACTGGGAAATGTAGACTTTTAAGTTTGAAAGAATAGTTATAGGTGTATTGTTTAGCTTTTTCATCAACAAATTGTTTTGATCACTTTATAAATTATCCTTTGGGCACACAGAACTTCTTCCCAAACAAGTCACATATGAAATTGATCTTGCTGAGCAGTGTTTGTGATTTTTTTTTTTTTAAACACCTGATCTCCCTTTTGGAGTACTTCAATTATAAACAGTAAAAAGTCCAAAAGTGTATGACCCTCACTTGGAAGTGTTTCTTCTTAAGATACCTCTCTGTTCTTGTATGTTCCTGCCCTTCAGCTTCCACTCAAGAAGGGTGTAGCACAGAAACATGACTTGTGGCATATCTGCCAGACTAGAACCACAGAACCAGACAACTATACTTAAGGAGCTAAATCAGGCGCCTACTTTTAATTCTCACAATGCCTATTTGTTTCTAGGAAGCATGAGTCAACAAATTCACCATGCTACTTGCTTTAACAATTTTTGTTGTAAAATAAGTTCAGTCCTATGTTCAATGGGCTAATTACATCAGCAGAGGAGGGAGTAAAGCCAGCACCAATTTCATAATTTTTTTAAAATGAAAACTAGCCCAATTTTTAAACTGTAAAAATTAGAGGAAGAGAAGGATGGAGATTTTTTTTTTATACTGAGTATGTGCATTGTTGTCCAATATGGTGAAATAAATAGGAGGATGCATTTAAAACATGAGAATAAATGGTAACTCTGTTCCACTGTTTTCAACAACCAAACCAGCATGTCTTGCTTTCAGCACCATCACCACTGTGCACAACTTGCCATATGAGCTCTAACTCTGTTTAGTTTAGGAGTTCTTAAGCTAATGCCCAAATCTTTAAAAAGGGATTTGCACTCATATTAATATTTTACATTCTTTGCAACACTTTAAGACGATGTCATACCTCCTGAAGGCATCTTATTTGTATCTACAGTTGCCAGCTGAAACACATCATGTAATTTTTGCCAACAGTTTGCAAGGCTTACAGAAAGTCAGAGGAAAGGATGACCTGCATTTATATTTCATGGGGAAATGATGTCAGAATACCAGTGGCTTTTAAAATATCGCTCAGCAACTTGTACTTTTTTCTTTTGCTCCTGCAGCTTTGATCTGGAAGTAGTGCTACCAAAGCCAGTAAAAGCAGAATCAGAGGAGACTGCTCTGCAAATTAATCCTCACCCTGAAGTAAAGATGAGAAGGTCCAAAAAAAGAACAAAAAGAAGCAGTGTGGTGTTTGCTGATGAGAAGACAGCACCTGACATTTCTATCTCCGACATGAAATGTGTATGTTACTGATTTAGAGTAGTATTTTATAATCCATAAAAGAGAGGACATTACTGCTTTGGTTAGGAAAAGAAAAATGTATCATATAGAACTCTAGCTGTCATAAAGGGAAATATATGCAGGATGCAGAGACAATCTGCCCTGCCATGAATGAAACCTGCAAGATGCTGAGGAGGAAACAAATCAATGGAAAAATCAGAACATCTCTACTTGTTTATAATGACAGATAATATAGCCCTGAAGTTGCAAATTCTGAAGCTTGGTTAGCTTGCAATGGAGTACTATATTGGGAGGGTTAAGCTGCAGAGGCGCAGTTGACTTTCCTGCAGAGAGGCAATTGACTGTGCTGACATTTCACGGCAGCTCCTTGCAGTCAGGGCTATTTCAAAAGTGATGAGCCCTGTACCTTTTGTACTTTGTTATGGAACATGCAGCTGTTAGGAAATTGCAAGATTGCAAACAGTGTTCCTTAAATGGTGCCAGACTGAAGTTTGGAAGCACAGGAATATCTCACTCCATAGATGATCTGAGTGCTTTTATTGCATTGCTAGATCATTAGAATGACTTATATAACTGCACTTTTTTTCTTTTTTTTTTTTTTTTGGTTTTGTAGTTTAATTCTCAGGAGGCTTTTCTTCTTTTAATATAAAAAGAAATAATATTTTTTTTAAAAAAGATGTCTTCTTGATACACAAGCCTTATCTAAATTAAAGGATCAGGCAGTAACAGGTTGTTGAATTACACAGAGACCATAAGTCATTTGATAAAAAAGTTTTAGAGAAGTCATCAAAGGTAAAGTGAATTCAACATAAAGCTAAGATTCTTTTGGGAAACAAGGAGAAACTGGTGGAGGATTATGATTGTCTTACACCATGTGTCCTTATACAAGAGAGAGATATAAAGCACAGTCACACTTTGAGAAGCATTAATATACAAAACCAAGCAATACCTTTGTCTTTTGATTAAATTAGATAACACATACACCTAACTGTGGGAATCTCACTATGTACTGAGTGACAGGATTTTCTTTTGCTTCAGAAAAATAGTGATAAGCCTCGCAGCAGCTGAGCTGGCTATGTTAATGCAATAGGAAAAAATGTTTTCAAAACTTTTTACATTGCAGATCAGGGTCAGAGCTGGCTGATGGTATTATTCCAAAGATATGGTAGGAATACCATCCTATGGTTCCAGATTACAGAATCTCTTCTAGCTAACTTTTTTAGAGTAATGTTTTTTTCTGTATGGAATTAAATGTATTTAACTGTAAATCATCTGTGAAATTGTTACATGTTTTTAGCTAGTGTATAATATTATATGTGGACCCAATTCTACTACTTCTAGTTACTTTTATTGTTTATTCTGCAAACAATTCCATAAAAAACTTGGGTTCAGCATGATAGTTTGTTTATGAATTATTTTCTTTTATGCTTTTCACAAAATACTATTTTGTTTAGACCTTTGTTGCTCCTATCTCAGTTCATCTTAATGGCTTTTTTTTTAATTAAACAGCTGTCAAGGAAATACGAGTTCATGAGTGACACCAACCTCTCAGAACATGTAGTGGCACCTCAGAAAACATCTGTCCTCAAGCAGATGAGTTCTGTCAGTCGTTCTATGCCAACTATCCCAGGTAAGCTGCTTACAGTTAGGTAAGAGTTCTGCACTTCTTTATTGCTATGTTAAGATAATAACGCCAAGCAGAGCAGGTAGCTCTCTCTGTGTGGCTCCATGCCTCTGAGACAAAGATTACAGTTTAAGTGTGTATTGTGCATGTGAGGCTGAACTGCTACTACTGCTTGGTAACACTGTGCTGCCTAGTAGCTAACATGCAGATTCTAAAAGTGTTACTTCTGGAGCTCCGAATTTTGCTTCCTTGTATACTGGGGGCATTCCCCCTGCCTTGAAAGAGGCAAGGTTTATTCATTTTCCTTGCTTTGTAGAACTCACTTGCAGAAGCAAGGGCTTCTGCAGTCTGCCCTCAGAGCTGAGGGCAGCGTTGGAAACAGGAAGAATTGCTCTGTACTTTGCTTTGGCAGATGAATGTCCCCAAAGGTTGCCCCATAGTAGGGTTTCAACTTCTGCTTTTGATGTTAAAGAGGAATCTCATAAGCCTCCCTCACAGCAAGAGGAAGGGGAAACAAGATAACATAACTGCTCAGTAGAAAGATTGACAGTTGCATGATAGGGAAGGGGAAAGTGTAAGTTGAAGGTGAAACTCATCTCTAGGCCAGGGTGTACAGGATATTTCAATATCCTTTACCCCCTACTTCTTCCATAGCACATCCCATTTCTTAGTCTGCACTATCCCTATCTTTCTAGATGCCTGTAACAGACATTTAGCACAACACAACAGACTGTCATAGCCCACTACTTTTTCATGTATATATCTATTTTTTCTTCTTTGACCAGATTGGTTCATGTTTTTTCACTATTCAGTTTCAAAGTAATGAAGCTGAGTGCTTCCACATTACATATTTTTTGTATTCTAAGGATATAGTTAATTAAAAATATCTCATTTCTTTCCAGTAATTGCAGTAGTTCATTATTTTGACTTCTGCTTTATCTTATACTCTGACTCTCCTTTTTTTTGTTTTGTTTTGTGCAACCAATATGTTTCTATTCTAAGGATTAACTCTGTCCATCAGCCCAGTGGCACCTGATGAAACAATTGCATCACATAGGTTGAGTCAACCAGTGTTTCCTTCCACCTCAGATGGTGACAAGAAAACCTTCAAAAAAAAGAAAGTGAACCAGTTATTTAAAACAATGGTAAGTTATGTGTTTATGGGGAAAAAAGAAAGTGTTACCTCTTCAAACATTCTATGCTCTGAAAATTAAGTAATTTTAAAATACCTTAAGATCATAAGTCAAACTTCTTTTTTTATTTTTCTTCTCTCATCAGAGAGAGGAGTGGAAGCTCTATGGGGAAACAAAAATTTGCCTCTGGCTGTGCTGTTGGAGTAGGGACGTACATCTTTGTGGGTTTAAGAGGCTCAGTTGTGCATTTCTGCATCTGTACCACAAGAGGTCTCATTTGACCTACTGATTTTCTCTGATTTGCTTTAGATAACATTTATTAGCAAAAGAGGAAAGCAATTACTACTTGTTCGATTTAATTAGTTCTAGCATCAGAGTAAGGTAAGCATAGCATATATGGCAAAACATGCACAACGTGAGTCAATTGCTGATGTCAGAGATGCTTGTTTGAAAGTAGAAATTGGCTTACACTGGAGTCATTAATGTTGTTTAAAACAGGTTGCCTTTCTTTAGAGTAGGAAACCTTTCACTGATTTCTGTGCAAATTTCACAAAATCAAAATGATTGAAATTAATGTAGTGTTTTGAAAGCAAAATATGTATATTCAGTGTGGATATTAAAATTCAGAAGTTTTAAAGTTTTCCTACTTTTTTCAGGTAGTGGGAGGGTGACATTTAATGCTGGTAGCTTCTGATATGCATACTGCATAAGCATTCTGTGACACTTGTAGTATTTTACATGTCAACTCTTTGATGATCTTTCAAAGCAAAGGTTGATTATTTTTTAAATACTTATTATTGTTATTTTTAATTTTTTCTAGTGAATAGATTTCATTTTGATCCATGAGTTTCTGCAGTCTTTTAAAAAAAAATACAGATAGTGCCTTCAGTGACCATAGAGAAACATTTAGGAAAATCTGCATTTAAATGTGTTCATAATCTTATTTTTCTGGTATGAACAAGAATAACCTATTAATTTGAAGTCTGTGGGATTTCACTTATATTCAATTTATCACATACTTGTTCTTTTCAGACCCAGGAGTAACAGCGTTTCAGCATGATCTCATCCACTCACGTTTAAACCTAAATAGCATATAAAATAAAGAGGACAAAATGTCCTTTTTTACAAGTCTGAGAAAGGACTGAATAAAGCTAACAATCCATTTGTATAGTGCTTCACAGCATGATTGGAATCATGTGGACAGGTTTAAATACAGGTTTATGGTTTTGCAGAATAGAGAAATTAATTCAAAATATCCAGGATTTGGTCAACATCTTTTTTTCTCTAGGCATAGCTTAAGGCCACAAGCTAGTAATTAGTATACATATTACTGAATCCAATACAGTAGTCATTTTAACATATGGCACTCTGTTCCTCTTTTTTTTGCAGCGCATTTCCAAAGTTCTAGAAGATGGAAGGCAGTCTGTGGAGCACCATTTCAAATCTTCATCTACAGATCTGTAATTCATTCCATTACAAGACCACTTCTCAACTGAAAATAATTATATATAAATACATATCCTATTTTGGACCACTGTCTAGTCTAAAGAAAGGCACTGATAACATAGATGGCTAATAGAGAATATGAACAATATTCATGGGCTCTGATAAGTTACTTGTGATACAGATACGGGAATAACATTGGAAGATAATACTAAAGGATGTGCCCACCAGAATATGGAACAAAAGTTTAGTGAGCCTCTGGTTATATAGATCAAAGGGTATGTACCTTGGTGACAAAACTTGTTCTGGGAAGAAAGATGTATTAAAAGGCCATCTGCAGTGGTTACTATATAATGTCAGATCCTGTTCCTATCAAAAAGCACAGAAGTTACCGGTTTGTGTAGCTTGTATAGACACACTCCAGTTATCTTTAAACTATTGCGGGCAGTGTAGTCAAGGCAACAGATGGCTCAGCACAAAATAGCCACTGACAATTTACTCTGTGGCTGTAGCTGGATTTACAGTCCTCAGATCCCTCTGCTGCTCCCACACACTGCTCTGTATCCTCCATCTTTCTCAGGGTGATGTCCATGACTGTGACACCATATGCCTGAGTTTTTTTCAGAACAGTGGCTATTATGTTGAAAACATCTGCAAAAGTTTATTTACACATGCACAAATTACATCCAGCAGTATGATAAACAAAAGCTGCAATGTTGCTGTTCATCAATAAAATGTTAAAAGTTTATTTTATTTGCCTTGAACTTTTCTCCCTGAAATCTCTAGGTATCGTCATATGTAAGGTAATAGTTTCTTACTGACAGCAAATGGAATTCTACAAGTCCAAGTCTCCTGCTTTCAAAATTGATTTTCTGCGTCTCTCCAACTCATGAGGTAGAGTTGGAAGATAATGCTTTGTTGGCATGAAGCTAGACATCACTGCAGGTCAGCATCTCGGGAATTTTGTAACCTGTCAGTTCTTTGTAAAGGCAAGTATGGTATCCAATTGTAAAGGTTTGTGAAAGGCGAGTAACTGATTTCCTTCGCTCATACCTTTATCTTTGACACCTACATAAGTTTATGTTAATTAAGTAAAATATGACTATGTATAGTGTTGTGGCTGGGAGAGACTGGCCTTGTTGCCATTTATATGGATATGGGAAAGACAAAGAGGTTAAAATTATTCACTTGCTGAGTGATTGAATCAATGGAAAGACATCTTCAGTTTGTTCTAAGCCTAACTATAAACACTTTTACGTTCAGCATGAATAATTTATTTAATGAATTTAGACTCTCTTTGCAAGTTGTCAGTGTGAAGCTGTTTTCTCACAGAAAACAATTGCTAATTATTTCTGTAGAAGTTTGAAATATTTGCCATTGGAACTGATACTGCGCCAAGAAATACTTTTCACTAGAATAACCATAGACAGCAAAATAAAATGGGTCCAGTATTAACACTAACTACAGTATTTGTTGGCATGGATACCGATAGACTATTTGTTTCATTGGCTTTTCACAGCAACTTGATACTGCTTCTGAGGAAGCACAGAGGAAGAACAGGGCTTTTCTAGAAAAAAAGCTCAGTTTAATAGAGTAGGTTATCTGTGAGTGGGAGAAAGTGAAAGGCTGAGGGGTGCATGTTTAACATCTTGCTAACCTGGGAAGAACAGGGGAGGGTACCCAGGTTGTCCTTCAGTATTATTTGCAGATACATTGAAGAAATATTGGTATCACAAAATAAAAAGTATTTTTAAAGAAAACGTTTGGTTTACTGGGAACAAATAAGAAAAGGATGATTTAGCAACTGTGTATTCTTTGTAAAGATACTTGTTAAAGGTTATCTTTTGCTTATTGTGCCTTGCAGCTATGTTTTCATATGAGAGTGGAATAAAAGAGGTTTAGCTCAAGCTGTTGTTATAAATTTTAATTAAAGTACCATGATTCAAAATAAAAAAGTACAAAGAATGGAAGAGAAGGAAGAGCGCAGAAACAAATACCAGGAAGGCAGCAGCACAATGTCCAAAGGAAGTTTGGTGTTGAGTGTTTAGCTGTTGGTTCCAGGTTCATGCTTGTGTTTTACTCAGGTTTTAGTATAATTTTTGAAAAAGAGTTTGGATTCGCACTTAATTTAGCAAATATCAGCAAAAATCTTATTAGTTGTCCCACATCAGATTGTCGTCTTCTTGCCAGCCCAGTTTTGGATCTGTTTCAAGCATGAAAACATGTAAATCAACTCTGAGGAGAAAAGCAAAATTAACTAAGAAAAAAATAACAGCCAAGAACAGGGCATAGATGGAACTGGAATTGTAAGGATGTTTGGACAACAAGCTCCAGCCATTCACAAGTTTCCAGAGGCTGTGGATATTGACATTTAATCCAAATAAGCAATATAGTCTGAAGAACAAGTGATGCCCTGGGATAATAAAGTGCAAGTATGGCAATCTGGCAACATCTGTTTAAATCATCAGTCAGCACTGATTATTGTCATTTCTGTTCACAAGCTAAACAGGCATTTAGTTTGCATATGCAGAGGAAGACGTACTCAGGCGGCACAGAACCTATGTATTTGACGTTCTTTGAAGCGAAGCACAGGGGGCAGAAATTTACTCCAGGATAGGATCAGGCTTTGGCTGCTGTCCCAAGGAATTAATGAAGCAGGGGTAGCTTCACCTGTAATTTGCATAGCTCTGCCGCTCACCACGCAAGGTCAGAAAAGCATTTCTGGACACAACAGTGTTTTCATGTGCTTTCTGTATCAGAGTTTATTTCACTTGTCTCAGACATTTCAAATAGTCTGGACAGTAACAGTCTGGCTTTCTGGATTGCATGGCACTAAGGTAATGATCGGGTAGAGTGAGTCCGTAATAAATAATTTGTTTAGCATGGGGTAGGAAATACTGCATGGGCAGCTAGGATTTTATGTGCTGACCTGTAGAAGGCTGTTCCACTGTAAGATGCATTTTAGCTGCATGCCATCTATGTTCAGAAGATGGGAAGCTGTTGGGGAAGTGAAGTGGGCTTACATGATTTGACTCAATCAGTTTGAACATGAAGTCTCTTAGCAATTCAACCACTGATAGCTGGTAAATCCCACAGTACAATATATACCCAGAGTCATAATGAGATCTTACTCTTACTAATGAGTGTAAATTTCTGCTTCGGACTAGGATAAATCCATAAGTATTTGATTGTCCTTAGAACTATACAGATTCTGAATCAAAGCTGCTCACTAATGTCACAGTATTGCAGCAGCTGTATCATGTCTGGCTGATAATCGAGGGATTTTTATTTCAGCCCAAGAGCAATGGAACCATCTTTGAAATAAGGATATAACTTAAATCACTAAAAGCTAGTCAAGCTCCAAAGTAGGTCTGTCCCACCCTGATCATGGGATAAGGGCCCTTTTCAACAAAAGCTGTTAAACATATTCTTAAAATAGCAAGGTAGGACAGAAGGTGGGTTGGTCTGTTATCAAATCTGTTTTCTGTTTAAGTCAACTGAGGTCCAGGAGTTGTGCTTAAAGCAATCTAATCACGTAATTCTCTATGCTAACTTGCTCTTCCATTTTAAAGGATTTTAGCTTAACTCCCATGAAAGAACCAAAAGACACTGTTTTGTTCCAGCTTCAGTGCAATGCTGCTTAACAGGTGAAACAATTATCCCAGAGACTGGTTCCATATATGCGGATGTCAATGGGAATCATCTCAACCTAGGGAATTCTGTTTAAAACAATAGCACGGGTCAATTCTCCAGAGTGTAGAAAAATAAAAGGAATAACTTAGTCAAACACAGGATTCTTCTCATGTAGAAATCAAGAGAATTCAGCCAATTTAAATCCAAATTGTCTTTTATGTCATCCATTTTTTTTAAAGCCATTTCTGAGGAGGGAGGAAAAATAAACAATTTAAGGATCCTTTCCCTCATTAATTTTTGGAGGTGGATATGTCCATGTTGTTACATAAATCTTTTTTTCTGAGGAATATGGAAGCTTTCATGAAAAAAGCTTGCAGCCATCTCCTATCCTGGATGCCTGAGTTGTTGCTAGTATTGTAGTATTTACTTATATTTCCCTCCCAGAACTGAGTTCCTACTTGCGCACAGGCATTCAAGGTCCTTTTGAGAGGGAACATTGAGCAACATGCCAGGGGCTGCCCTCAGTTATAAGGACTTCAGCATGGGCAATGTTTACTGCTATGGGGTGAGGAGAGTAGTTGTTCTTTATTGACTCAGTCTGTAATTTTCTATTCTGATTTGCTATCATGCTGCAGTGTGTGCTAAAGATTAACACTGTAAGTGAATAATTGCTCTGCAAACAAACCTCAGGTAGGCCATAGATTTCATAAACTATAAAACGTTAGATAAATTTAATCATGGTTTTAAAGTGAGGACAATTTGATCTGATTGGGTTTTGGATAGAATTATCCCTTTTCAGCGTAGCTTTTTTGTCTTCCAGGACAGCAGCAAGCTCCACTGTGCCATGACAGCCGCTGTGAGTGTCTGCTTTAACAAACATAATTTCTATGTTAATGATTTTCTTGAGTATTAGTGTGTGCTGCAGCTCCATATGCCTCATTTTGCATGTGGGTGTTAAACCTGCATTTACTAACAGGTTAAGGTGAGATGCATGAATGATCTCATTCATAGTTAATGCTTCATAGGCCTTCCCAGTAGCTTGAATTAGTTCAGCTGATTGTAGATGGCTGTTGATGGTGTTACAATGGGTCTAAATGGTGATTGATTCAAAGGGCACAGGAAAGGTGATGGGAGTCAGAAAACAGTCATTTAAGGTACCTATGCCCTAAGTTGGCAGGTTGGCAGCCAAAAAAAAGAGACTTATCTAGGTGAAGGTAGTAGGAATTTTGCGCTGTTGTAACTAGAAAAAGTCTAAAAAAAACTCCATGTCTGACAGGTATTTTGAGGGAAGATGTTCCCCAGAATGTTTGCTCATATGTTTTTATATGTAAGAAAGCAGCCCTGGATAGCGTCACTTTAGATGCAGTTCTTTTAGCTAGGGATATTGT